GTGTGTGTGTGTGTGTGTGTGTGAGAGAGAGACAGGGTCTCGCTCTGTCACCCAGGTTGGAGTGCAGTGGTGTGGGCTCAGCTCACTGCAGCCTCCCAGCTTCAAGTGATCCTCTAACCTCAGTCTTCTGAGTAGCTGGGATTACAGACACGCACCACCACGCCTGGCTGTTTTTGTCGTTTTAGGAGAGACTGGGGTCTCAGCATATTGGCCAAGCTGGTCTTGAACTCCTGACCTAAGGTGATCTGCCCACCTCGGCCTCCCAAAGTGCTGGGTGTGAGCCACCACACCCGGCCACCTCCAGATTTCACTTATAGGAAACACACAGCTGGTTTAAGCCACAACTCTTTTGCACACAAATCTTAGTGTGTTCCATCTGGATTTGTTCCATCTGAGTTCACAGGTCCTCGGCCACCATTTCATTCCCTTGTCTTTGCGAAAGTGGCAAAGTTGTGGCCTCTGCTGCTGTCCCAGCCTGCCAGGAGGTCCCCCAAGGAGAAATGTGGGTGGGGCCATGTTATCCCTTGGGGAAGGCCGGGGCCTGAACCACAGCTGAGGGTGCTGGGCTTGCCCGTGTGTGCTCCAGCGCAGCAGGCCTGCGGTGCCATCTGTGTGACAGTGTCTGCCCGTGGGGCTGTGGCCCTGCCTCCCCAGCTTTCAGAAGTGGGTCTGGAACGCCTGACCTCAGGTGATCCTTGACCTTCCAAAGTGCTGGGGTTACGGGCGTGAGCGACAGCGCGGGGGCCACTATTGTGATCTTTACACACCCCCTTAGGTTCTATTTTTGACTCGCTTAGAGATGGAGAAACTGAGGCAGAGAAAGGTTGGCGACAGCTACACCCAGCTCCTTCCAGATCCCAGAGCCTCCACCCTGAACCCCTGCACTCTGCAGGGAGTTCTCTGCCTGGAGTTTTGCACCTGCCGTCTCATGCCTGCGTCTCTCCACGCACGCTGCAGATGATGCCTGCCAGCCCGCCGGCCTGGGCCCCACTCCCTGCCCACCTCTGTCCTCAGGGCACTCCACCGGATGCCACTCTCAGGACACCCAGAGTCTTCCCAGCTTCCCAGCTGCCGCCCTCCGCCCAGGCCGCACAGAATGTGTTCAGGGCTTGGGGATGCGGGGTCTCCTTCTCTGTTGTCTACACAGGCTGGGGATGCAGGGGGCGCCTCCTCCTGTCCACACAGCCTGGGGCCAGCCATGTGTCCCCAAGACTCCAAGGACTCCCCAGCTGGAGCCCAGAAAGCAGAGCTGAGGGTGGCAGAAGACAGTTTCTTTGGGAGTCTGTTTCATCCTCAGTCCTCCCTGCCCCAGTTTCTCCTCTAAGTGAATCAACACTGGACTTATGGGGTGGGGAGGTGGTGGCCTGGGGTGGGGTGCTGCCTGGGGTGCGGAGGTGGTCACCTGGGGTGGGATGCTGCTTGGGATGGGGTGTTTTGTGGGGTGGGGTCCTCCCTGGTGTGGGGTGCTGCCTGGGTGGGGTACTTTAGGAGGGAACGTGGGGATGTGTGAGCTGGGGTTGAGAGGCAAAACAAGTGGGGGTGTTGGTGCGGGCTCAGCCAGGGCTCCATGCCATCATGCTTCCCCCTAGGAGCGGGTGTCATGAGCCCCATCTCACAGCGGGACCCTCTCCCGGAACTCCAGCCTAGGAGCTCTCCTTCTGCCCCTCCGGCCCCTGACCCGCCATGTGGGCTTCAGGAAGGTGTCTGAGGCCCCAGAGGCTGGGGGACTCTCCTGGCCCAGATGCCGGCTCCTCCCCGACTACACCCAGGCGCACAGGCAGGACGGTGCAGGAGGAGGGAGGGGCAAGCCCCACGCGGAAGTCAGGTAGGAGTGCCTGCCACAGGCAGCAGCTCTCCTGGCCGCCAGCCCCAGCCCCAGCCCCGGAACTCCAGCCGCAGCCAGCATGCAGGTGAGTCCCTTGCTACAAAGGGTCTACACCTGTGCTGCCCCCAGCCACGCCCCGGCCACCGGGCCCCAGTTGCCCGCCGCCAGCCCCACCTGGAAGGCTCCTGTTGGGGGGGGTCCCTGCAGGCTGCCAGGTCGGGTGTGGGCGACACCCCAGCAGAGCTCAGCTGCCTCCTGGACCTCCTGGACCGCTGGGGCACGCTGTGGGTCGGAAGCGCTGGCCCGGGATCCTGAGGACACCAGGGCCGGGCTCTTAGCAAGTGTGTGGGACCGGGAACCCTTACCAGAGTCCTCAGTACAAGATGGAGACGGCACGCCCACCCGGGCTGGGGGCTGCCGGCGAGGACCCCAGACCTGGCGGCTTTGCCTCGCAGCTGGCCCCTAAGCGGGAGGGGGCTGAGGACTCCAGGCAGGCTGCCCTGGGGTTGGGAGCTGCAGAGTGGCCAGTGGGCTGTGGGCTCTCTGCTCCCCAAGGAGCCCTGCCCCAGGCACAGGTGGGGGCCGACCGCTGCTGCTGGATTCCAATTCTGGGGCTGGGGGTGCAGAGCAGAAGGGGGGTGCAGGAGAACAGGCAGGAGGACATCGTTTCTCCCCCCTGCCAGTGAAGAGGTCACTTGGGGCCGGGCCAACGCCTGGGCATGTCAGTTCCCGGTCGGCCCAGGGAGGAGGCAGCGCTGAGGCGGGGTGAAACCAGCCTCCCTGCTGCCTCCTTGTGTGGGCAGCCTCTGGTTCCACCTCTGCCCTCCACATCCAGCCCTGACATCCTGGCTGCTCAGCCCAGCCGCTGATGCCCCTTGGCCTGAGCTCAGGGTCCCCTCTGCCAGCCCCTTCCTCCCGTGCTGGGGTTCGAGGGGAGACGTGGGGCTGGCTAGGGGTTGGGGCTGGGGGGAAGCAGCATCTGGTTTGCCCTAAGTGAGAGCATCAGTCCTTGAAAAAGGGCGGTGGCGCATGCCTGTAGTCCCCGCTTCTCCGGAGGCTGAGGCAGGAGGACGGCTGGAACCCAGGAGCTCTGGGCTGTAGCGCTGTGCTGGCTGCGTGTCCACCCTGAGTTCAGCCCCAATATGGTGACCTCCTGGGTGCGGGGGACCACCAAGTTGCCTAAGGAGGGGTGAACCGGTCTAGGTCGGAAACGGAGCAGGTCAAACTCTCGTGGTGATGAGAAAGGACAGTTACAGACACGGAGGACTTGGTGGTCCCAGCTCCAGGCTGGATCTGGGCATGCCTTTCCTCTGCTCTAACCCGCTGCCCCCTGCCAAAGTCCAAACTCCCCAGCTGCCCAAGCTGCCTTCCCTGGTTGGCTTCTGCCAACCTGCAGCCTCCCCTCTGGCGGCTCCCTTCTTGCCCGTTATGCTTCTGCAAAGGTGGAGTTCCAGGACGGAGTCGCTGGAAGGACTAAGACTCAGTTTCCATAGGTGCTGAGTGCTGAGTCACCAGGAGTAGTAGCTACCAAGTCCTCCTTGGAGGTGCTGAGTGTTGAGTTCCTGGGAGGTGCTGACTGCTGAGTCCCAGATGCCAACTGCACCCTGCCCCTCAGGGCCTGCCCACACACATTCTTTCTCCCAAGAATGCTGCCCCCATTTTCTCAACCTCTGCCAACCTCTTGCCCTACAATGCCAAGCTCCGTGCCTCCTCGCCTGCCAAGTAGGCCCCCGCCCGTGTCCTCGAACACCACGCACTGCCTGGGAGGGCAGCATGCAGGTCATGCCATCAGTGTCTGGGCAAGGATGGGCACACGAATGGGTGAACTGACAGATGACAGACTGGGCGGCTGGAGGGGAGTAGGGGGTACAGATGACGGGCTTGGGTGCTCAAAGAGCAGAGCCAGGCAGGGAGGACTCGCTCAGAGGCCCTGTGGCTGGGCAGAGGCGAGGCGCTCTGGTTCACGGGGTGGGCCTCTCTGGGGGACGACCCTCGGTGGATGATGAAACTGCAAAGTACTCAAGGGGCAGATCCCAGAGGGCCCGGGATGCCGGCAAAGGGGCTTGACACGACCTCAGGGGAGATGAGGTCCCAAGATTCTCCATGCACACCTGGGCGAGGTGCATCCTGGGACCCACTAGCCAGGCCTGCTTGGGAGCAGGCTGGGGTCCATCTCCTCTGCCTGTCCCAGCCTGGAGGCTGGGCTGTGAGGACGGAGGGGCAGGACCCCCAGCTCCACCCTCACACTCCAGACCTTGGGAGGGAGGGTCTCTGTGGCCTGCAGTGCCTCCAGAAGCTTCCTCATTGGGAGCCAGGGGCTTGCCCACTGGACCCTGGCCCATGCCCACAATGCGGTACCAGGGCCCCCCACCCACTCCCTGGGGCTCTGGATCACTGGGCATGTGGCCTGTGAGGCTGTAGGGCAGGAAGGACGGGCAGGACAGTGTCTGTGGTTCTGTCTGCCTCCTTCCTGTGTCTGCACATCATGGAGGGGACTGTGAGCAGGGCTGAGGGGCACCCTGCTGTACACGTGAGGAAACTGAGGCAGGGGGTCTTTCGGTGGTGTCATAGCCAGGGCCTGGCCGGCTGTCTGCCCAGAGCTGGTCTCCCTCTCTGGGTTTGCACACGGCAAGGCTGGCTGAAGCCTCAGAGGCCCGAGGCTGAGTGTGTAAGGCCAGCCTCTGTCACTGCCCTGCCATCTGGGAGCCTGTGGGCCCACATGTGGCTTCCCGGACACTGGCCCTGCAGGACAGACGGACAGATGGACGGATGGACGGCCCAATCCTGGGGGCTGGTGGCTGTGGCCCTGGGTGGGCCCAGTGTTTGACAGCAGAGCCTGGGAGCCTGAGGCCTGTCTGGCTGTGGGTGGTGGGCTCCACCTGTATGGCTGTGGTGGGGGGGCTCCACCCGTCTGGCTGTGGGTGGGGGGGTCTCCACCCGTCTGGCTGTGGGTGGGGGGGTCTCCACCCGTCTGGCTGTGGTGGGGGGGCTCCACCCGTCTGGCTGTGTGGTGGGGGGTCTCCACCCGTCTGGCTGTGGGT